TTTAACACCCGTTCCATTGTCAATTGTCGGCGAAAATAATGTCAAACGCTTCCTGTTACTGGATGGTTACCCGTCCTTGCAACGGGCCAGCGGGATATACTTAACAGCCTGACCACAAAGTGGGCGGAGGCTGCTCTATTTCCTTCCGGCTTCTTTCCATGTAGTAAATAAACCTGATGATCCTCATGTCCATCTAGAGCTACTGTGCAATAGTCTCAAAAGGCAGACTGCGCGCAACCGTCGAGGGCCGCGCGATCTCGGGCTTTCCGACTCGGGCGCAGGGCTCCGACCGAAGACATGTTGTGACACCATGAGACCTCTTTAAAATTCTTAACGCACAGGCACGGGGCAGGCGATCATATTTCTTATGACGGTCAAGTATTCAATGCAGTATTTGAAAAAACTATTTCGTCCATCGACGCCATCGCGGATCGCGAAAGCTGCGCTTGCATCACTGTATCAGTGATAGGGCTCATGCATATCCCCGACAAAGATGTATAGTTCATTGGTCGAGTTTGTACTACATTAGCTGTTAGGGAGTAAATGTATTACATATTGGTACGGGAGCAACTGATGTTGCAGATGTTCGTAAGCCTGCCTCTAGTTGCGTGCAGGTTTGTTACTGACGGCCAAGGCAGTTTTTAGCAATTCTCTACAGTGCTTGTTCATGCACCAGAAGATGGCTTAGGTGCACATACAGTTGGGGTTGCCTTGCTTCAGGTATTCCGACGAGATGCGCAGCAACTCGTTGCAGTGTGGTCTGCTTCCGTAACGATAATCCTCGACCTTACCCGGGGACCATCGAGAGCTCCAACAAAGTTAAAATACTAAGATAAGATTTTTACCAAAGCAACCGACATCACCAGCAGTACCCAGCCGGCCAGGGCACAGCGGCTTTAGCAAGCTCTGTAACTGTGCCGTGTGATGTTGATATGTGTATCTCTACGTGCGTTGAAGCTAGCTATGGAGGGCCAAAGAGATGTTCAACAATTGTCAAGCGTGATTATTCATGGATCGAAGGGGACTTGGTTGTCCATGCATGTGGGGCTACTTCGCCGCAATTGCGTTGTAACGCGTATCAGACGGCCCCCCGCCACCCCTTACCCGCCCCAAGCCCCTGCGCCGCTGGCTGCAGGCCGCCTTGGGACTGGAAGAGATGTTATCTGTTTGCCGGAAAGTCTTTTCTCAAGCATTTGGACACTTTTACAGCTCTAGTAAATCGAGCATTCTAGTCACAGGCAATGCTATGCTTATGCCACCCGTGACGGTTGCTCGGGCTCTCACATCTGCGCAGACCTGCATTAAAGTTGAAGGTCGAGAAAGCGCACAAGGATGTCCACTTTGCGCCAATTTATCTTAGCATATATCTTGTCTGCATTTTTGGTTTGGAAGTACTATTTGCCACAAGTCTATCTCTCCACGTAAATGGGTTGCATGGGCTTGCATCATTTGTGGCACCTGAAAGAAGGAATATAACCCTATATCTGGACACTTTTCAATGCTTTTAGTACTAAAAAATCGTCCTATGTCGACTTACCTCTCGGGATTAATGGAACTTATAGAATTGCTCCAAACCAACGGAAAACCGTCAAGGCGCCGATACATGCGACAGGTTTTTTAAGTGATGGTAAGACATTAAATGAGGCATATTAATAGTAGCAATAGTCGTCATAATGTTTCACTGTTGTAAACGTTCTATCAGGTGTTCTCTCGTGTAGTATGTTTTGTCAGAGGCAGTGTCGGTGGCTGCCTCTCCGGCATCGAAAAATGCGCATTAATTGTGAAGTGTAATGCAAAAATCAGCCAGGCATATTACAGGCCACTTCGCGTTCTGTGGTGGACTGTTGACGCTTATGAAGCCGAGAATAACCAGTTCCTCTAGGGGAGTCAGGGGTCGGTATTAAGTTGCTTCTCTGTGCACTTGGAAAGAATCTAGCGATTGTGGGGGATAACTAATGCCTTCACCAACAACCGCGGAATTTGCTGAATGCGCAGATAAACTGAGGGACGCTACAAGAGCTTCGGCTGCCGTCGAGAAGCGCAGCCCTTCCGCCGTAGGCAACCCGATACTTTAAGTGGCAAAAAGGTCGAACAGTATGTTTTGTATTTTACTGCCGATATTTGCTGTTGAATTTTACCTGCATGATGGCTCAGGCCTTTCGTCTCGGTTTCCTATGTAGCGCATCTGCTTGGCACAGTCTAGTTGTTTCATTTATTATATCTCGTGCTCTCCTCATAATGCAGCTGTACAGTCAGGGTCCCAAAGCCACTCTAGCCATGGTGGAATTTCGTTAATCATATGCTAGATAGGGATGATACAACGGGGTCGCCACAATACTTCGCGTTGCTGGGCGTTTCTTAACTTACACTGAACATGGAGTGTAAATCTCAGCTTTGCCTACAGAGCGCTTTGCTCAACTAGAAATACCACCGCCGAAAAATTCCCCTTTCTCGGTCCCATGTTGTGCGCAACCCCCGTTTGTATTGTTTTAACAGTATCCTGAAGCAGTTTCCTACGTTTAACGCTCCTATTCAGCTACCACGCCAGAGTTCTGCACTCATGTACTGCTTCTGAATCCCCCGCACTTCAGTAAGCACAAACTAGCAAGCATCTAGAGATTTACGGAGACTGACCGTCGACTCCAGCTAGGGGCGTTGTGACTACGTGCTGGTTCACGTGCCGGTACCATGCCGGCCGGCTGTTGACTACCTAGTTTCGCCTTTGTTATAACCTAAATTAC